TTACCTGAGATCTACTATGATGCAAGAACGTCTCAGTGGACTTGCCATTATAAGCATAAACCATGTGGTCTCAAATCAGTTGTCATATGATGATGTTGTAGATGACTTTGCTGCAAGAAAAACCAGGAGAGTAAAGCTGTAGCAGGTTATGTGAGATTGAGGAGGTGATGGTGTAGTTTTTAAGTTACGGCAGTACCAAAAACACCACTAGAGGTCTTTGTAAGATCATCTTTTTATTTTTATTTAAATCCTTGTATTTTTTTGTGCCTACTCGTTTCTTTAATATCTTATTTTGCACAGTGCCGTATTTATATTGTATTTTTAAGTTAATGTCACTTGTTTACACTTTTTATTTTGGGAGTATTAATAGGTACTTTATGTAAGCTATTTATATTGTATTTCATATGTTCAGTTCATTTTTTTGTATTTGTTTCTTTAATTCTTTCTAAGTATTTTGAATGTGCAATTGCTTTATTTAAATAAAAGAATGTCCAAGACAAAGCTATTACGTTTCTTATGAGTATATACACTAGCAGTGGAATTTACTGCGATGCAACGGGGCGCCACCTGAAATCTTGCCTAGGGCGCCAAATTGGTTAGGGCCGGGCCTGGTGGGGGTTGTGAAAGAATTTCATCCAAACAGAGGGTCACACTCCTACACAGGCTAAAAACCACTGTATTACAGTATGTTGTGTAGCAGGCTACAGACCCTCAGTCAGTTACATTATATTCAGTAGGAATGGTGGCAGTGCTGTGTTTATCACAAAAAGGTTTAAGGTAACGTGCACTGTCTCCTGTTATATTTTACTTAATCTTAATCAGAAAATAAATCTCAAAAATAAAAATGGCACCTTTATGGTCACTGTAATTCTTATAAGAGAAACTTGCATTATTATTAAGCACTTGTACTGGTACTCGGTATCAGCAAGTACTCAAATGTAAGTAGTTGTATTTGGACTCTGTGATAAAAGTGGTAACGGTGCATCCCTAACAAATAGTGTAAATGTTGTGATGTCATCTGTACCTAAATGTGGTTCCTTTTTATAGTAGTCATTGCAAGGATTTAACAGTTACAGTGTGCAGTCGCTGCTTTTGTCATATATTTATTGAGGATTTCTGACACATCCTGCTACCAGTGATGTAAGCACATCTAAAAAATGTGATCATGACTAGTCCATGCAAACAATGTGAGCCAATTAAATGAATCCAGTTTTAGTCAAAATGAAAAGGAAGGCACACTACTTATTCCTAGATGAATATTATGAAGCATGACTCACTAACATCAACACTAGTCAACAGTAATTTCAGATGAGCGTACTTTGTTTTCCCGTACCCTTGTTGACATGACCCTGCTAAGTATGACGTTTAACATCATTTAGCGCCATTAAATGGCTACTGTATCAACTAAAATAAAATGTACAACAATCTACATCTCCTGTATCCACAGTCAGAGCCTATTAATATGGTGCCTATGACACACAAGCAAAGATTAGTGAATCCCTCTGTCCCCCTGCTTCAGTTTTTCTTCACGGTGCTCTGTGCGATTTTACTGATTATATGGTGTCAAATAAACACAGGCTGTATGCACAAGCATGGCACGAGAGGGAAGTGACCCCGCCCCGTTTGTATCTCCGGCTCCCTTGTTCCTCCCCACTCTGTCTTTCACCTGCTGTCTCTCTCCACCCACACACGGGCACTCAGCATAAATCAGGTCCAGTACATGTAACGGTGATCGACTGTGTCGCAATAGCTAGTGTATTTAGACATATAAATAGTGGAGTCTGAATGTGTGTTCGAATGCATGTTGTTTTTATGATGGGTGTACTGCGGAGGGGGCGTAATGTGTGATCTATTCATCCAGACACTGACAGTGAGTTGGGCAGTTGGAATACATGCACACACAAACTTACTACTATGCTGAGTCAGTAACATAGTAATTCCAGAGGAGCTGCACAAACACCACCATTTTTTGCACACACACACACACACACACACACACACACACACACACATCATGCTTTGTTGAATCTGTTATTGTAAGCACATGCCCACAACTCCACCCTCAAATTAGATGCACATTATAAGAGGAAAACAAGTGACAGTCTTAAAAATTATGCTGTCTTAAAAATGTGAGATATTTTTGTTTGATAACTGTAGAACTGTTGTATCCAGTGGGAAGTCACAGTTTCCTCACTCCTTTCATTTGTCACTTTGTCGCTATGGCCAGCTCCCCTTCACTTTCACCTGCTGAAATCAATATTAAGATTAATTGCCATATTTATAATATTTGGTAAAACTATATAGATATATGGATTATAACTGTCACTGATGCTACCCTTAACTACTGAACATTTCAGGATGTAGGAAGCAGCCTGTGTAAAGAAATGACTGTATTGGTCAGTGGTCACATAAATGACTGCATGTACATACTACTGCGCTGAATCGTTGAGTTGATACTCTCGGGCACGGCTGAAGCACTCCTGGATGCCCGAGTCAGACCACAGACGCATCATGGCAGAGAGCAGCTCAGCGGAGTAAGGCTCTGTGTCCTCCATACGACTGACCACATCGCACACCATCTTAGCATCCGCCTGGAGTAGAGAGGAGGGAAGAAGCAGGAGGTTAGTATTCTTATAGGTCTGTGGAGGGGCTGTTGTAACACTATGGCATTATTCAAACATCACCACATTAATTATGAGACATTGGTAAGATGATTGTAAACAAACACTACTGTCACAGAGGGGCTGTCAGCCTGTACAATGCATTTTCAACAGTGTCACTAGGCAGTAAAGCAGGATTCTTTGGTTAATACACTGAAAGAAAGAATAGTTTTATATACTATGGTATGATAAATACTCCTTTTAATTTGATGATGAACTATGGCACATGGAAGAAAGATCAAGTGGAAAATGGAATAACCTGGAGGGGGGAGGGTTGACATAGATGGTGAATGAAAAGAAGAGAAGCTGAGGTTAGAGATAACAGCTACACAAGGTGACTAAAGAAGAAAAGGACAAGGCTCAGGGAGAGAGAAGCAAGAGCGTTTTCTGGCCGATTTTGTTCATTTATTCTTGAGGTAAAAATACTTCACAAAAGCACAATTTAAAATCCATGTTATTACAGACTCTGAGTTGGGACCTATGCAGAAACAAACCACGAAGCAGCTCCAGTTTATACAAAGGTTTAAGTTCAAATTCTGTTTTAATGCCATAAAACTGCAATATTTGCAAGTGTTCAAGAAAATGCTTGACATTTTGACTAAGTGGGCTTTTTAAAAACTGCCAACACTAACTCACATACAATAGATGGGTGAAAATAGACTGTTTAAAAATCAAGCCAGCTGGGCATGGCCAAAGGTAAAGCATTTTTGTTTTTTTAGCTGCAAAAGGCCAAAGAGGAGGCTGTTGTCATGGAGCAGTGAGTGGTCTGTCTCTGGTTCCTTCAGGGGCAGCGGCTGCTGGTCTGCACTGGGCTCCTTCCACATAAACAAGCAGATAAATTAGCATAAAAAACCCTAAGCTGTTTAGATCATATAGTCACAACAATGCCAAAGTGAAGATCATAGAGTAGCTGCCACCTCTGGTTCACATCAGGCTATATCAGTATAGTCAGCAGGA